GCCGGTGGAGGTGCGCACGCGCATCACCGCGTCGTGCGCAGTGGGGCGCGACACGACGCGCCGCACGTCCCACGCCAGCCGCTCCCCGTCCGTCTCCGCCTTACAACATAACACTCATATTTACCAACAAGAAATATAAAACGGACATTTTGTTTTCAGAAACCCACAGCCAGATGCTACCGTTAATGTCTTTAAGCGTACATTTCTTGTATTCAACCTAAACTAAGCGTTTCCAAATTATCACTTAACTTTTATTTTTATCTCTAAAATACAACGATCATATTAAATTTGGATGGATGGATATTTCTTATTACGTATCTCTAAAACGACTTAACGGATCTTGATGAAGTTCATCACAGATGTAGAACATAGTCTGACAGAAAACATAAGCTACTACATAAGTTAGTTTTTATGAATTCGACGCAGATAAAGTCGCGGTAGGGCAGTGTGTAACTAACAGTAAAGTATGTATATTTGTGCATCTGTCCGCCGGTGAGTCGCGGCAGCTGTCCGATGGTGGCGGCGTCCACGTACGCGTTGTTGCACACGAACAGCTCCACGCAGACGCCCGCCGCGCTGCACGCCTGACCCGTCTCGTTGTACGCCGTCGTCTGCGGCACTGGAACACGCAACACACGCAACATACATACATTTCGCATACATATAGAACATAGTCTCAAACATTGACTACCAATTCAACTTTTCTTGCTGTAAACTCCGAAACTACTGAACCAATTCTTTTGTAAATTTTGTAAACATCTGTAAGTTGGTTCAACTTGGGAGATAGGGTAGTTTTTATCTCAAATATTGTTCTTTTTTATAATTCTGCGCAAAGTCACGGGCGAGATCTAGTTATTATATAAAATTCTTCTTACTTTACACAAATTTTCTCTATTTTTTCTAAGTAAATGAACTCACTGAGTATCTGTTTCTCCTTATCAGTTCCCAGCAGTTTCCTGTCCTCTCTATTGATAAGTTTCCCTGGCGCGTTGTAAGTGGGCAGGGAAGTGTGGAACACAAGCAGCTGGCCTGAAGTATCCGCAGCTTTCAACGCTTCTAGACCAGCCTGGAATAAACACAGATTTTTTATAGCAAGCAAATTCGCCGAAATAGCGAAACAACCGCTGCCCGTAATCATCTGTAATCGCAGATGCGGTGCAAACTTTGGATCGAGCCTATGCATCCTCTTCTCCGTCAAATCCACTTCCCTTTTCCATACTTTCCTTGTAAAAAAGGGTGGATGGACAAAAATTCGTTTCCTACACTCGCCTCGTCGTTCTCCCTTATCCAGGTTCGACTGTAGTAAGTTGCTATTTATCATCCTGTATTACACACCTGTACAGCTGGTAACAGTATCGTTTCCGTCTCCTTATTGTCATGGAACATGTTGGGCAGCTGCTGCAACAGCTGCTGCAGCACTGGCCCGCTCTGCTCCGCCGGTGACAGGAACCCGTCCAGCAGCGGCACGAACACGTCAGACACGTCGCCCACTGACAACATCTGAGGCTGCGCCAGTGTACCCTGAGGGTGGAGAAAGGTTTGTAACCAATGGGCAAGTTCGGTAAGTATTGGGAAATTTTAGTAACTAATAGGCAAGTTAGGTAAGCATAGGGCAAATTAGTAACTAATGAGCAAGTTAGGTAAGCATTGGGCAATTTTAGAAACTAATGGGCAAGTTAGGTAAGCACTGGGCAATTTTAATAACTAATGGGCAAGTTAGGTAAACATTGAGTAATTTAAGAATTAAATGGGCTTAATAAATACCTTTATATTGTAGAAGTGAACTGTAGAACTGTAGGTGATGAAACCTACACGTGTGTAGCTCTTTCCATTTTCGTCTTTTGGCATAGCCTGGAAACA